GTTTACCGATTTTTTGAACAAATGTTAAGTAACTATATCGTTTTGCGTCAAACTGGGTGGCCCGAATTTAAATGTCAGTGCGTGAACTCATTGAGGTCATTGCCCATTGCCGCACGTAATTCAAACATGTGGTTATTATAGTTCAGTCGAAATGTACGTGAATATTGCGATTGAAGTGCGCTATCCAGAGTTTATTACATTATAATAAAATTTAATTTAACACATGGTATAGTTTATACTACATGTTCACTTCATTTCGAATAAAAAAAAATCACCATTGGAACATCGATGAATCACAAGTATTTAAAATATTTTCTCGACTTTCCGTAGATACCCGACTACTATCATTTTTAATGATTTAAATGCGCCCATGTTTATGTTTGCGTAATTATTACGAATGCAATGCATTATCAAGTCGGTGTATTGAAATATTCAAAGACCCAATACCCCGGGTCAGCATCCTAACAATAGTAAAAATTAACTTGAGTTTGCGTAATTATCATGAAAGCAATACATTACAAAGTTGAAATATTCAGAGCTGGTACAATATTGTAAACAAATTTGGGCAATTAGAAAAGCAGCACACTAAGTAAACGATGTTGAAATAATCAACGCCAATACAGAGTTGGATACAAGTTGTGTTATTACAGCACCGCCAGATATAATAACAATTTTACGAGATCGACGCGCGGACCAAGAAAGAAAAAGGTTGCTAAGGTAACGCGCCAGTTCAGTGCGTGACTTGGGGTCAAACTTCGGTCAACACACACTTGATGTCAGCATCGCCGCGTAGCAAGTTTCGCAACTTACTTGAAGTTCAATTGTGCCCCAAAATGATGTCGACGATCACTCAATTGTCGCAGCGCCCTGTTTCGACTTTGGCTTGCTTTTCCTTCTTAGTGCATGTTCTTGTTCACGTAAATGCGACCTCTCACCAATGTATTAAAACGCTTTGAATTTATACTTATGCGTGATTATATTTGGTCTACGCGAAACATTAATCTTTCTAAACATTTTCTGAGACCATGCATGATATCTATTCACAAAATAATGCGATCATATTTTATATTATGTTGATCTCTTCGTCTTTCTGGATCGTTTTGTGATTTTATTCCAAAGCTCAGGCAAATAAAATAATGTCAACTATTATAGACTGGTTTCCTAGCTTTTGGCTCAGCCAAATTGGTTTATTTTTCATTAGAACTTTGTGATCCTTTTAATTTCCCAGTTCTTTGTGTTCATTAATGGTCTTGACAATAAGTGTGAATTGCTGTGCGAGCCCACCGCGGACGACCGCGGTCAGCCGGTGTCATGGAATCTATGCATAAATTTGCATAAAATGCGGTCGACCGGCGAACACCCACCATTTCCTACTCTCCCCTAATATGAACAGAACAGAACAAAAAAATTATGAATTATTATGCTAATTAGAGAATTAATATGAACAAATTTTAACCCAAAATTAATTAACAGGCCTGTACCAAATTTTATTCAAATGTGATGATCAGTAATTGAGATATCAGTGTTAATTAATTATGTTAATTAGGTGATTAATAAGCATAAATATTTACCAAAAACTAATTGGGTCTCTGCATAGTTCTCTTTAAAAGTTTCATTAAAATCCAATTCGTGGTTCTTTATATATCAGTGGAACATTATGCAAATTTGGTAATTAATATCCAATAAAAACTAATCATGTCTCTGCATAGTCCTAGAAGATCTATGTAGCAAGTCTCATTAAAATATGATTAGTACTTGAGATATAATGCAAAAAGCTGAAAATTAACTAATTCTGCTAATAAGGTACTTAATATGCACAAATATTTACCCAAAAACTAATCAGGGGTCTGCACACTCCTTAAGTAACTATGTACCAAGTGTCATTGAAATGTGATGATTACTACTTGAAATATCAAAAGCTGAAAATTAATTAATTATGCAAATTAGGTAATTAATATGTACTCATACTGCCCTAAAAACTATCAGGTCTGTGCAGTGTCGTATGACATCTATGTACCAAATTTCATTGAAATGTGATGATTACTACTTGAAATATCAAAAGCTGAAAATTAATTAATTATGCAAATTAGGTAATTAATATGTACTGATATTATCCTAAAAACAATCAGGTCTGTGCAGTGTCCTATGACATCTATGTACCAAATTTCATTGAAATGTGATGATTACTACTTGAAATATCAAAAGCTGAAAATTAATTAATTATGCAAATTAGGTAATTAATATGTACTCATACTACCCGAAAACTATCGATTCTGAGCAGTGTCCTATGACATCTATGCACCAAGTGATATGTGATAGATAGTACTTGAGATATCAGTGGAAAAACCGAAAATTTATTAATTATTATGCAAATTAGGTAATTAATATTACCCAAAAACTAATCAAATCTGCGCATTAGTTTGGAGCATCTATGTGCCAAGTTTCATCAAAATCCAATGAGTGGTTCTTTAGATATCAGTTGTACTGTCATGGAACAGCTAAAAATCAGCTAATTATCATGCAAATTAGGTAATTAATATGCATGGCTTTTTACCAAAACCTAATCAAATCTGCGCATCTATGCACCAAGTTTCATCAAAAATCAATGTATGGTTCTTGAGATATCAGTGGAACAGACACACACACACACACACACACACACACACAGACAGACACACACACACACTAACTGCAAAGACTTCGCACACGGGAGTCAACAATGAATAATTAATGTTTTAAGGTACTGTTGTTAAGGAGAAGTTAAAATACCTTCTTGGGTGATAGTAATAGTTCAGCAAACTTGCTCGGCAGCGAGTATTTTCTCACTAGTAAATCCTCCACAACCCATGGACTGTTAGGATTTGTACCAGCCCTTACGGCATGAGAACGAATAAATAATTTAATGAGATCCTTATTCGGTACCCTGTTGACTCTCCTGAAAACAAAATATAAAACTACATGTATGATAAATGGATATGAAACTTACAAATCATTCCATGAATGCATGCTTATTGTGTTAAAAGTAATTGTTACACTTGAATAAAACTTCTTTATCGTACTGTAAAATACTTTATTTTCAGTGAAAAAAAAATCTAGTGAATATACCTTTTTCCTATATTTTACATTCGACTTGTCCAAAATCAGTGAAAACAAGTCATTGTCAATGACACGTCCCCGTTCCGTTCATATTTGAGTGACATATACATTCAAAGCAGATCATGACCGAAATGCACCTGCATATGTACAACACATTGTGCTAAATCTGAACAAAATCCATCCATGCATGACTGAGATCCGGTTCTGGAATTGTGAAAATATGTGATTTTGATGCATTTTCGGCCTTAAAATGGCCATCATTCCGCTATTGTTAAGCAGATCATGAAACAAATGCACATATCTATTTGTGACATGATGTACCATGTGTGTGTGAAGTTTGAACTTGATCAATCCAGACATGTCTTGGATACGGATCCAGAACTGAATTCTTTAACAAAATGGCCGCCAGTCGGCCATTTCGAATTTGATCCGAAAAAAAAAAAAGACGTGCATCAAGGTCCTATTATGTTTAATGTATGTACCAAATTTGAACAAAATCCATCCATGCATAACTGAGATCCGGGTCCGGAATGGTGAAAATGTGCGATTTTGATGCATTTTCGGCCTTAAAATGGCCGCTATTCGGCTATCGTTAATCGGATCATGAAAAAAATGCATGTGCATATGTCCCATATAAGGTGTGATGTATGAGTGAAGTTTGAACTTAATCGGCCCATGCATGTTCAAGATACAGGTGATCACGGACGCACGGACGCACACAGGGCAAAACATAAGTCCCCGTTTTCGGACTGCGTCCGAACGGGGACTAATAAATTCCATACAAAACAAAAATAATTTCCAGCTAAAATAAAGTATTTTACAGTATTCCAAATTTACACATCTCCTGCTTTCCTTAAAAAAAGACAACACACAAATTTTTAAGAAAAAAAAAATATAAAAATAAAAGATGATAAAATACTGATCACCAATGTAACTCAAAGAGTTTGAATTTATCATTTTTATTTGAGTTTTTTTAAATAGACTACAAAAAAAAAATAATGCTGCATCATTGCAAGATTGGTGCCCCACTCCTCTACCTAATTTGTTCTGGATTAGGATATTTCAAAATAGAATGTTATGAAATATATGTCATTTTTAATACAATCCTTCAACATGCAAACTGAAGAATTATTGTAAAAAGATGTACTTACTTTAATTCTGCAGCAGGCACTGAACTCACAATCTTTCCTTCTTGAATTTGTACATGGTATTTATATAGATGCTGTAACATTAGAATAACGACAATTAGTCAAAATCTGGTCTCTATCTCAACAACAAATATTCAAATATCAACAACAGAAGGCAAACTCACAATGCGATACTTTTAAATTGAGCTGTGTGCACACTAGCAGCTAGTGCTAGGCTCACATAGAGTACTACCATAGTAGTTTTTAGACAATTTTCCACAGTTGGCAGCACAAATAAGACGACCAATATATAAAAGGTTATTCATATAAAACATCCTTTCTATAGAAAGAAACTCTCGAATTTCAACACATTTAAACAAAGTAGCACCGGGGGTAACCATTTTCATTGAAATGTCCTTTAAACGTTTACTTGGAAGATTTTATCTTGATTCTTATTGATAAAAATAAAACATATACCTTATTAATTTGCTCCTTTTTAGGAGAGCCAACAGTGGATGATGATGATGATGATGCTCCCTCACTATTTTCTTTGTCACTTGATGGTGAACTACAATTGCTCGGAAGCTACAATATAACATCAGGAGAAGGGATTTACCAAACTAATTTGTGGGTTTGTACAAACCTAATGTATCCACCCCTGAATTAGAGATCAGACCAGATATGAAGTCGCTATATTTTAGAGACAACGGACCAAGACCAGAAAAGAAGTCACTATATTTTTAGAGACAACAAATCAGGACCAGATAAGAAGTCACTGTATTTTTTGAGACAACAGACTAGGACCAGATATGAAGTCACTATATTTTTATCGACAACAGACCAGGACCAGATATGAAGTCACTATATTTTTATCGACAACAGACCAGGACCAGATAAGAAGTCACTATATTTTTAGAAACAGACCAGGACCAGATAAGAAGTCACTATATTTTTTAAGATAACAAACTAGGACCAGATATGAAGTCACTATATTTTTAGAGACAACAGACTAGGACCAGATAAGAAGTCACTATATTTTTAGAGACAACAAATCAGGACCAGATAAGAAGTCACTATATTTTTAGAGATAAAAAACTAGGACCAAATATGAAGTCACTAAAATTTTAGCTTCTACAGAACAGGACCATATTTTTAGAAACAGACCAAGACCAGATACAATATTTCAAGGGGCTGCAGAAACCTTGTGTAACCGTATGCTATACTTGTATGTAAATTTAAATGATAACATATTATGCAAATCAGGATTCATATTGTTATGGATTAAGTTAATCCCAGACAGTAACAACACATCATGATTTGGACTGGCATGGCCTTTAATATTTCTGAACACTATTTTTTTACAGTAAAAATGATTCCAGAGTTCATCTCACGACATAATTATTTTTTTTGGTGAAAATATTTTGCACATTATTTTTTTTCCTATAATTTCTTTGTTCTGCCAACATGTCCTGATCAAAATGGTTCAAAAAATTAAGGTGATAAAAGTAGACATTGGTGTTCAATAATAAAATGTGGGTAAAGCTGACAATATAGCATTAAGTGAAGATGTGGTGCATTTTACTTGTAATCAATGATGAAAATAGAAAATATACAAGACTATATCGAGAAATGTGACAAAAGACTGACTAAATATTAATAAAACAATAATAAAATTGTGCAGTTTTTGATACTAAGATGATGGCCATGATTTCTCTACTAGCAAGCATAAAATCAAATTATTATATTTCAAGTACAATTTCAACCTGCACAATATTTCAAATCCACACATAAAAAGAGGATGAACATTACATCTATTTAGAAATATGAAGAACTTCTTGGCATGGACAGAAAAATAAAGGACCCTCTCGGGGTAGAATTTGAAGTCAAGATAATTCTTACCAAGATTGTGACAGATTTCAGTATTTTGTAGATACATGTAATAATAAAAAAAATACTCACATCTTCCACAGATATCTTCTGT